GCTCTTGCTCAGGCTGGTCTTGAACTCCTGAGCTCAAACAATCCGCCTGCCTCGGCCTCCCAGAGTGCTAGGATTACAGGCGTGAGCCACCACGCCCGGCCTGGTATAATTCTTTATAAGTGTGTATACATATATATACACATACACAGACATAAATACACATATATGTATGTATTTTTAGAATCAGACATTCCTAATGAATATTATTTTTACCTTTATTTTACCTTTAGGTAGTTTTGGAGAGCCCATGGCCTAGCAGTACCCGCAGTGGTATCTTCTTATGGACGAAGGTACGGAATGTGGTACATGGCTTGGCACAATTTCGGCAGCCACTTAAGAAGACTGTGCAAAAGTCACAGGTCTCCTCAATATCAGGTAATACATGTGATTAGAAATATACTTTCTTGCTGAACCATAACCTTTATAGGCCTATGAGTTTTTAATTATATGAAGTAGAAAAACTTAAATGAAATCTGGTGGATATTTTCATATATAAAGTTTTTTTTTTTTTTTTTTTAGAAATTTAGAAGGTGTTCTGCAACTGTAAATGAACTATGGGTCATTGATGTTTAGTTTCAGAGATTATCAATGCATGAGTTGTTGAATTGCTGTTGTCCTTATCTTTAGTTCCTCAGAATGCCACAGGTGGAAGTGATGGGGACACGGTGAGCCACGGTAGCGTGGATAGTGCTAATGATGCTAACAGTGGGGAGCACACAGTCTTCGTGAGAGATTTAATCAGGCTTGATTCCATTGATAATCACTCTAGCACAGGTACTAAAACCAGGATTTTACTAACCCTTCACTCACTCTTATGTCTTTCTTTTTTCAAAAAGCTTTTATCCTCCTTGAGTTTGTGTGATATGAATACTTTAAAAGTACTGTATATTAATAAGAGAAGAAATTATACCTCTACAGGTCACTTCTGTTTATTTCCTAAATTAACTTTGGAGTTCTATGCACAGTGCTCTAGGGTGATGCTTCTTTATATTTGTTCATCATTAATTTGTGAAAGTATTTGATATAATTATTAGGAATTGGTGAGCTAATGAACATGAACATTAGTGACACAACTTGCAAATTTTTTTATTGAAAGGAATATATATCTTAAAACTTAGAGATTATGAATATTAAGAGGGAAGAAAATAAGTCACACATGATGAGAAAGAGTATTTGCTTAAATGACACTTTTTTAAAATTTGAGAAGCTACAGAAGCTGCTTGTATGTACACAGCTATGGGTATAACCTCTGTTCTCTGAAGTTAGAATTAAAGTAGCACATTGGGCAGATATGTATGTTGCACATCTTTCTTCTTGTGTTGTGTTTTTGTTGTGGTTGTTTTTAATATCTCAAGCCTTCCTTTAAAAAGAATTCTGAGTCTAATTCCTGTGCTTCATCTGATGAACTTGTCTCAATGACTGAAGTTTCCTTTTCTCTGCTCTTTGTTGCTTTGCTTTTTGCTCTTTGCTGTTTCTTGGTGCTGCATTTGTCCTTGGCTGTCATGGTATGGGGTGCAGACAGACTTGTATGACGTGAAGCTATGGATACACGTGTGCGTTAATTCTACCCTTGAATGTTAACCACTTCAGGTAATTTCCTGTTTATTAGGTTAAATTTTGCTGCCATGCAAGGGTGGGGGAAAGATCTTTTGTTGTACTTTATTGTTACAAGTAGAAAGCAGTTTTCATTCTCTTGGCTTTTCTCCTTCAGATGATTGTAATTATATACAGAATGCTGAAAATATCCAACTAACATTTTATCATCAATTTGTAAAGCATACTTGTTATCTTGAAGATATATTATATTATGCCTTGCTATAATCTTATTTTGAGGTTGGTTGGTGGCATCATTGTGTCAAATAGTGTTTTGGGCATTAAAGAATTCACTGTTTCAGCTGTTGAGATAGCTGTTGATTTCCAAAACTGGTCTGCTGAATTTTTGTGCCAAAAACTACCTTCCCATAATTACAGGAGCATGTATAAATCATTGAAAGCCAACATAAGCCTACAGGTTACAATCCTATTCGTGATTAACTTTCTACAATCCGGTTTGTAAATTAACAAGTAGGAATTATTATGAAACTTTCATTTTAAAGCTACCTTATTTTGCCTGTATTTTTTCCTAATACTTGTAGAAGAAATGAGTTTCATGTACAAAAAAACGAAGAAAATAAATTTTTGGTCTGCAACCAGTTAACCAGTAGTAATAATACATAAACACCCACCCTTATTCCTCTAGCTTTTTAAGTTTGTCTCGTTATAGAGGCAGTTTCGTCCTTTAATGGAAAAAAATGTCTCCTAATAATCCTGGGTAATTGGTATAAAGATTGCAATAGTTGTGGAAGAACCTTCAGAGCCCTCTTTGTATATTTATTTATCTCTCTCTCCCTCCGTCCCCCCCTCACCCCCGCCCGTCACTCACTCACTTTTTTTTTTTTTTAAAGAGATGGGGTCTCACTCTGTCGCCTAGACTGGAGTGCAGTGGCACAATCATAGCTCACTGCAGCCCCAAACTCCTGGGCTCAGGCGATCTTCCCACTTTACCATCCCCAGTAACTGGGACTACAGGTGTGAGTTACTGCACCCAGCCTATATATTTCTTTATATTAATTGTTGCCTTTCAAATGGCTGAATCCAAGACATTGAATTTACAGTGACTATGTGTCTCTGTAGGGCTTCTGGTGATATCATTTGATACTTTTGGAAAGTCTTCCAGCCCAGATGCTTAAGTCGCTTATTTCATTAAGGATTATCACATGGAATCTTTCTGCTTGGTACCTGATACAGAGTCACTTAGCTGTTAGGGACATATTTGGGTTTAATGAATTTACCCAGTTCCTAGTCTAGTGTTCATTTCATGGCACCATATTGCTTTACCAGACTTTTGGGGGTGTAATAAAAAAGTGACTGAAGTTAGTCATTCTATATGAAATTTTTTTTTTTTTTTTTGAGACAGAGTCTTGCTCTGTCGCTTGGGCTAGAGTGCTGTGATGTCAGCCCAGCTCACAGCAGCCTCAAACTCCTGGGCTCAGTCAATCCTCCTGCCTCAGCCTCTGGAGTAGTAGGGACTACAGGTGCGTACCACGACGCCCAGCTGATATTTTCTATTTTTAGTAGAGACGAAGTCTTGATCTTGCTCTGGCAGGTCTCAAACTCCTGACCTCAAGCAATCCTCCCACCTCTGCCTCCCAGAGTGCTAGGAGTACAGGCATGAGCCACTGCACCAGCCAGTCATTCTGAATAGTGGTATTTAAAGACGTTTAATTCCTTTGTTATATAGCAAACCAAAGTCTAAGTGGCAGAAAGTGGAAGGTATTACGTATTTTATGTGTCTTTGATTGACATCTTTATACTGATTTCTCTAGAACTGGTCTTAGTTTCAATTTTAAATTATAGAACTTTAAAGCCAAAATAGACTTTTGAAAAACTATTTTAAAATAGTTTCAAACATATAAAAAGTTTCAAGAATAATACAAAAAACTCTTAAATATCTTTTGTCTAGATTCACTCCTTTTTAGTTTCCCAAATTTCATTCTGTATGCATACATGTATCATTTACTTTTCCTAAGTCACGTGAGCAGGTTACATATCTTGCCCTTTTACCTGTTAATACTTCAGTGATATTTTTTCTTACATAACCACAGTTTAGTTACCAAATTTAAGAAAACATTGATATACTACTTTAATCTATAGTCTGTGTTCCAATTTTGTCAGTTATGGTAATGTCCTTTGTGGTACTTTGACGCCTTCTCTTTAGTCTCCTTTAACCTGACACAATTCCTCGGCCTTTCTTTGTCTTTCATGACTTTGACCTTTCTGAAGAGTTCATTTTAGTTATTTTATGAAATGTTCCTTAATTTGAGTTTGTCTGATAATTCCTTGTGATCAGGTTATGCATCCACAGGTGTACTACATAAGTGATGTCATATCCTCAGATTAACACTCCCTGCCCCTCATTGGTGATGTTAATTTTGATCACCTGGTCTCTGTTGTCTGATTTCTCTGTGTACAGTTAGTATTTTCCTCCTCGCAGGTTGTAAGTCATCTGTGAGGGCATACTCTGAGACCATATGATAATATCCTTTCTCATCACTCTTTCTCTTTTAAATTTGGCATCCATTGATGATGCTTACCTGAACCAATCTTTATTGTGATGGTTACAAAATAATGATTTTGCCAACTCTATCACTCCTTCCATATTTAGAAGGTGGCATTCCAGTGTATAGAAGAATTTCCCTTCTCCATTTTTTGCTTATGAATTTATTTTTAGTATGGACTCATGGATTCCTATTTTATTCATTGAATTATAATCCATTACTGTCCCTATTTGATCCTCAAGTTATCCCAGTGTTGGCTAGTTGGAGCTCTTTTAAGTTGGTTTTTATGTCCTTTAGACATGCCCCCATCATGTTTTTGAGGACTTCCTTTGTGGCACAACAAAATATCCCTGGCTCATTTTTGTACCTTCCCTGCCTGAGCTCTGGAATTAGCCATTTCTTCAGGGATCCCAGGTTCCTTTTAATGGAGAATAGATTATAGAAGCCAGGATCTGGGCTCTACATATGGTTACTGCTACCAAGGTGTTACTGCTTCTAGACTTTTTTTTTAAACAAGCAGAGCTAGAAAATATGTACACTGTACACAAAAAATAATGCCAAAATTGTTATACTCCCCTGTGCAAAAAAAAAAAGCTAGTAAGCAGTTCAGGATTTGACTGTTACCCCTTGTCTTAGGGTATACATTCAAAATAATGTATTAAAAAATTATCAATACTTGAATTAGTTCTCACATGACCCTTTCAGTCTGGGTATGTTATTTTTATGCAATATGATTTGCTTCTTTTGTTTCTCTTTGCATTCAATTTTAGCCCTCATCCCCCACTTTATTGCTTTCATTTTTTTGAATATATATAAATATATTACATCTCTAAAAATAAAAACAATATGATAAGCCATAGTTAGAGAAGTTTCCTCCTTTATTCATTCCATGCTGTTTTCCCACACCCCTTGTAGGTAATCATTTTTACTGTTTTCTGATTCATCTTTCTTGCATTTCTTTTTGCAAAAATTAGGAGATATATGTGTATTTTGTTCCCTTTTCTTTCTTAAACAAAAGGTAGCATTCTATAGACAATCTCCAAAAAAGCCTTTTCAAAACATACTGTCCAAATCTCTTTAATTTACAGATAAGGTAATTAAGGTTCAATGCTTCCAAATATGTAATGGTCTTTAGTCTTTGGTGTTCTCATTTTTGCTGTTCTTTGCTTCTTGTCATTGTTTTTAAAATGTTCTGTGTGCCTTGTATGCTCTTTTGTTCCCTTTCTCTAAGTTTATGTAGATCAGTGGAATTTTCTTTTGCTATTTTATATGTGAAGTATACAAGTATATGAAAACATTTATATGTAAGGCTGCATTCTTTTTAATAGGTGGTCAGTCTGACCAAGGCTACGGGTCTAAGGATGAACTGATAAAGGATGATGCAGAAATTCATGTGCCTGAAGAACAGGTAGCAAGAGAATTGATAACTAAAACAAAACTGCAAAAAGAAGGTTAAGTACTGATATTTATGAGCTTTACTTAAAGAAAAATACCTGTATTAATTAAAAGTTTATCTTATTTGATAATTTTTGGTGATAATTTTCAAAAACGTAAGGTCTAGCTAATAAGATATTGTATATTATTATATAAGGTAGATTTTGGTAGTCTCTAAATTTTAGAATTTAAGAGACCTTCAGGGGCTTTCTAAGTCAGCCCTTAATTTTGCAAGAAAGCACAACCTTTTGTGGTATTTGCCAAAGTTACATACCTACTTTGTGACAGAACCAGGACTAAACTTTAAGTCATCAAAACTTGTATTTCAGTGCTCCTTTTTTTTTAAAACGTTCCTTTGCTAGAAGTCCTTCAGATATCTAAGTGCATATTTTTCACTGGTGGATTAAAAATATTCTGTGCGCATTGCACTCCTTGTGTATACAAATACCCGTCCCCTCCTCCCTCCTCCCCCCTCCTCCCACCGCCCTCCCCCTTGCGCACTACCCGAAGGATGGACATATTTGAAACACGGACTTGGGGGGAGGGGAACCAAGGGCAACACACATAACCTAAACATCTGTACCCCATAATATGCTGAAAAAAAAAAAACATATTCTGTGTGGTTTTCCTGGTTTTTATAGGACTCATTAAGGTAGAGATGAATTGTTGTAATCATTTCATGGAAATATGGAAGAACATTTTGGTAATAAGATGTTCTTCCTATTCTCTTCACAAAAGTGCAGTTTCTTTCATGATGTTACTTATTTTATCCTCCAGAGTTAGGCAGAAGCAAGCCCCTCTCCCACTTGCCAAGTGATGAGAAGGAGAACTGAAGGCCAGGGGCTTAATTGATTCACTCAAGAACATGCACCTTAGGATTATCGAACACTAAAACAAAGCATTTATTTCAGTCAGTATTGGTGACAATTATGGCATAGAGTAAACCATACATAATAAATCAGTAATAAAATAGGTATTCACTCCTTTTGGAGAAAAAAATACATACAGTATATAAATATCAATGTATGGTGTCTGTTCAATATTAGAAAAAGGAGGAATAACATCCAAATATTTTTTTTTCCAGAGGCATGTGATGTCTCTTCTATTGTGGCAAAACATTCACAACCTAGTCCAGAGCCTCAGAGTCCTAGCGAAGCTCCTGCATGGGGCAACAGTATTGTGAAAGTTCCATCTGGTATATTTGATATCAACAGCAAGAAAAATAGCACTGGTGAGTCTTTTACATATTGGTTATTAAATATTTAAAATATACTTCCACAGACACCTATGTATTTTTAATGACATTAAATTGTTGACTTAATTATAATGTACATGCCAAAGAGCCAGAAGTGACTATAAGTGGGCTAAAATATTTTTTTTTTTTTTTTGAGACAGAGTCTCACTATGTTGCCCAGGCTAGAGTGCCGTGGCGTCATCCTAGCTCACAGCAACCTCAAACTCCTGGGCTCAAGCGATCCTCCTGCCTCAACCTCCCGAGTAGCTGGGACTACAGGCATGCGCCACCATGCCCGGCTAGTTTTTTCTATATATTTTTAGTTGTCCAATTAATTTTTTCTATTTTTAGTAGAGACAGGGTCTCGCTCTTGCTCAGGCTGGTTTCGAACTCCTGAGCTCAAACAATCCGCCCGCCTCGGCCTCCCAGAGAGCTAGGATTACAGGCGTGAGCCACCGCGCCCGGCCTAAAAAAATTTTAAATGTTGTTATTTAAAGGTATTTAATTTTTAAAAGGAGGGTTATTTAGTGTGTTTGATTGTCATTTGGAATGCCTTTTCCTGCTGTAGTGCCTGTTCTCTGTTTGGTCACTCTTTCTCATTGTAGATAATGAGAATATACTGTAGGGCCTCCTATATGCATCAAGAACAGAGAGGCAGTGATGTGATCAAATCTCAGAGGGCTTTTGTGCATGGTATTTCCTATCACTAAAGGGAAATGAAAGAAAAATACTCATATCATTTCCACTCTACACAAATACATCAGTGGGTCTTTAATTTTGGCCCATTTGTTGTAGGTACCCCAAACCACTTCTTGTTTGTGATTATATATTTGTAATAAATAACTCTGTGTGTGTGACTCCCTTGAATTCGAGTTTACTACTTTCAATTATATTGTAGGCCTCACAAATACCCATAAGGCATACATCTAAGTATATGATTTTATTTTATTTTTTTCTAAATTTTTAAAAAATAAATTTCATTTAAATAGCTTTATTTTCTTTTGCTTACCACTATACTAACAAGGATAAGTATATGATTTTAAAGGACAGTGAAATTGGCCTGTGTCTTTTGCTATTTGTTAGTGGTAGCTTCAATTCACTTCTCTAAAGTCTACTGTCTTATCTGAAAATGTATCTATCTCTTGGATGGCTTTACAGAAATTAATTTGTTCAGCTTCTTAGATCAGTGCAAAAGTACTCCTTATTCTTAAAATCTTTTCTCTTTGTATTTACTGTGATACCAAATTCATTACTTTTTTGGGGTAGTACTCAAGAGGTGGGTCTAAAGATTTTTTGAGAAAAGAATTGATATATATGTTATAGATCTAATTTTCCCAACCCATTGATAGTAGGGTGGGTGGCGGAGAGGAGGGCAGAGTTTCTTTATCAAAGGTTTAGAATCCTCTCAGAGTATTGAAGTAGACATGGCCTAGGGACTGGTGTGTTTCCTTCCCTTTTTACTCATCTTATTTTTATATCACATCTTGATATAGGAAGATTTATTCCGTTAAGAAAGAAGGGGATGGTATTGGGGCTTTTGCCAGTATATCAAACAAATTCATTTTAAAATTGAATAAAATTTGCCACTAAAATCCTAGAAATACTATGAGAATTAATATTTGCACAGATCTGTTTCTCAAATACTGAGAATAGTTTTCAAAGTAGGTACAAATTTTGGAGTTGTAAAATAGGTTAGTTTAATTCCCTTAAAAGCCTTAAAAATATCTCTAAATGCTTATTAGTAGTTCTGATTAATTGATATGATTATGACCAGTAATTAGTACTAATTGGAAAAATTAAAATAATGTTGAAATCAATTTGGAAGTTTAAAAAAAAGATCTTGTCAAAGACAGCTTTTCCCCTCAAAGCTCCCAGATCATTATGCTTTTTAAAAAACAAATGAGAATCCTAAATATGCATGGGTGGTGTTTTAGTCAATTCAGGTTGCTTTAATAGAATTTCATAGACTGGGTGGCTATAAACAATATAAATTTATTTATTAGCGTTCAAGAGTCTGGAAAGTCCAAGATTAGTGTATCAGTATGGTGGGTTCTGGTGAGGGCTCTCTTTGAGGTTACAGACTACCGACTTCCTATTGTATGCTTACATGGCATAGGAGAGAGCTCTCTGGGGTCTCTTTTATAAGGGCACTAATCCTACTCATGAGGGTATCACCTTCATGACCTAATTATCTCTCAAAGGCTCCACTTCCTAATATCATCCTATTGGGGGTTAGGATTTCAATGTATGAATTTTAGGGGGCACAAAAATGGAGACCGTAACAGGTAGACTTAAGTTCTAAGATTCAAATAGGAAATAGCTTTTGGTATTAGAGTGGAAAAAATTGCATGGTAGCAAAAAGTAAAAGACTGCTTGCTTCCCACAAAGATAGGGGAGGTTCCTAAGGCCGCTAGCATATTTTTGCTCTACTTGGTCAAATAAGACCTCTGGGCCGGGCGCGGTGGCTCACGCCTGTAATCCCAGCACTCTGGGAGGCCGAGGCGGATGGATCACTCAAGGTCAGGAGCTCGAGACCAGCCTGAGAAAGAGCGAGACCCCATCTCTACTAGAAATAGAAAGAAATTATCTGGACAACCAAAAAAATATATATAAAAAAAATTAGCCAGGCATGGTGGCACATGCCTGTAGTCCCAGCTACTCGGGAGGCTGAGGCAGGAGGATCACTTGAGCCCAGGAGTTTTAGGTTGCTGTGAGCTAGGCTGACGCCATGGCACTCTAGCCAGGGCAATAGAGCCAGATTCTGTCTCAAAAAAAAAAAAAAAAAACCAACAGGGTGAATCTTTTTATTTTTGAAATTTTATGTAACAATGTTAAATTAAAAACAAAAATACTCTCTACAGAATTATTTGGACTTGGAATGTATGACATTGTAAATTCCAAGTAGTTGTGGATCTTGTCTTTTCTGTTTATTGCCATAGCCCTGGCACTAGTAGCAGTGCTTGGCATAAGGCAAATAAATATTTGCAAGTGAAGGAATGCATAATAAGTCTATAAAAAATGTTTATAATTTTTCTCCAGAATTTAATCTAAGGAGATAATTACGTATGTATGTAAAAATAGCTCAAAGGAATTCATCAATGGAATTTATATAAGATTTAAAAGCATTTTGAGTGTTTAAGCAATAGAAGATTTATTAATACTAAATACATAATAGTACATCAGTAATATTTTACAGGGGTTTAAACAACATAGAGGAAAATGTAATGACATAAAAATAAATTACATGAGAATTATCGAAATGTTTTCTATCTAAACTAAAACTTCAACAATCAGAGTAGTTAAGAACTGCAGTGTTTTTTGGAACTTTATTCGTATCTTAGGCCTCTAACGTTGATATTTATTATTCTGAACAATCAGACTTTCAGCTGAAATCCTCACAACAACTGTATTTGAAAAGACTCATATTACCCATATTTTTAGATGATGTAATTAAAAGTTAGAGAATTAATTTCTGTAAGGTCACATACTTACCAATCTGGCTGTCTGACTCAAAAATCCCTACTCTACTTGTACTGGGATCTCTGACTCCATTGGAGACAGCGAGTCCTTTATTTTATAATAGACTTAATATAATAGATAAATAGAGTTCCTTTATTTTATAATATTGAATATTGAGAGACACCCAGACCCCAAGCATACACTTGGAGC